TGTTTTTTTTAAATTTTTTATGTTCTTGTATGATATAGGACTTGAGGCCATTGTATAGTAGGTAGGTGGGATTTAATCTAGGTGTGGTCTTAATAAATAGATGTGTGGCTTCCGCATGCAAATTATTGCATCTATCATGTATCTACTTCAATTTGTATCATCTATCTACATCTATTCACTTAAACAGCAAATTTCGTGTAAATATTCGTGAATCGTGTATACACGTGCAATATCTGCCCCACAATTTCTTCAGTAGCGACATGTGATACATTTGAACCTTTCAGGTACTGCATCTAGTACCATCAAGATTATTGATTGTCTACATTTTGTCAGTCATAAAGGAACTGCTTTTTGTCTAGACTTCTGTCAGGAAGGTTAAGAACTTATCAATCCACTGACTCAAACTTCACAGCAAGTAAATGCTTGGCTTGTAATCTGTTGTAAAACAGCAATTTAGCAGAGTATAAGTTAATAAAACTACGGTTTGTTACAAATCATTTAACTAAGATTACACAACTCATTTAGGCAACCAAACTGTTCCTTGTATGTAGAAAGTTTAAAGGGCAACTGAATTGAATTTTTTGGATTTTTCAATAATCAAGTCACAGTATCTATAGAACATTTGAACAACAGTTATGCACTTATTTTGATCAAAAAGTCTTTTACTTGCAAGAAAATGCACTTTACATTTCATCCATTTTGTTGGCAGCCATCTTCTTCCTGTTTCAGCAACAATGCAGGGGTGTGCAATTTGTGATGCCATCAGATGCATTGATGGCTGTTCCTTGCATCACTTCATGCAGAAAAAACTTGTTGCTACTGTCCATGATAATAACAAATAAAAGCAAATTTAGTATAATTTATTTCCAAATGGTACTGGCAAAACAAATATGTGATTTTATCACCTAAAAGACAGAATAGAGTCATGGTAGTCAGGACCAACAAAGTGCTTTTTTGTGCAGCAGTCACTTGACTAAATCATTTGGAAATAAATTATACTAAGTTTGCTTTTATTTGTTATTACCATGGCCAGTAGCAGCAAGTTCTTTCTGCATGAAAGAGATGCAAGGAACAGCCATCAATGCATCTGATGACATCACAAATTGCATGCCCCCGCATTGTTGCTGAAACAGGAAGATGGCTGCCAGCAAAAAGGATGAAATGTAAAGAGCATTTTCTTGCAAGTGAAAGACTTTTTGATCAAAATAAGTGCATAACTGTTGTTCAAATGTTATATAGACAAGTAAATAAAAAAACATTAAAAATGGAAAAATAGTAGGAT